CTCTTCTTAAGAAAAATGAGTAGGCAACATCATGAAACCAACGAAAGATAATGTCCCCAAACTCTAAAATAAGAAGATAAAACTTCAAAAACAAAAATGCTAAAAATATTTCCACTATTAACCATGAAGTCTTGTTTTTATACATCTCCCCCAAATAAAGAATCATAATTAGGTAATTTTTAACAAATATGCACTACGTTTAAGAAAGTTAACTTAGAACTCTATTTTTAGAACCTAGACCACAATTTCTTTTTGAAACCTAAATAGCAGCTAGCTCAAAATAAAACCTCCATGAATGCAGGTACCTTGTCTGAGTAGTTTACCTATACAATGTATTGTCAATGCTTATCATGGTACCAGACATTACATAAACATTTGCTAATCAATTAACCAAAGGAATATTGAAGAACAATGTATAATTCTATTAATAGAGATTAAGACTAAATACCTATCTTAAGAACACATTTGCAAGGCTAGAATTTGTAAGTTTCTTTTTCAAAGAAAAGATTATGTGCATGGTAAGTGAATAACCATAAACAAAGTAAGCATGCATATCTGTTCAAAAAAGTAATCTCACTGAAAAGTTCATCCCAACATACATACACACTATAAAAGGATGAACCGTGTGCTATGTGCCGCCCCCCGTTATATTTTAAAACCCTGACCTCCAGTACCTCAGAATGTGACTGTATTTGGAGACAGGGACATCAAAGAGGTGATTGAGTTAACATGAGGCCATTAAGTGACTGGTGTCCTTCTAAGAACAGGCAATTAGGACATACAGAGTGACACATGAGGCACATGCAAGCAGAGAGGAAAGACCATGTCAGGACACAACAGAAGGTGGCCATCCACAAGCCAAGGAGAGAGGCCTCAGGAGAAACCAAACCTGCCGACACCTTGATTTTGAACTTGTAGCCTCCAGAACTATGAGAAAATAAATTTCTGCTGGTTAAGCCACAATTAGTGGTATTTTGTTATGGTGGCTCTAGCGAACCAACACATATAAATACATATAAAAGTTAGAGCAAGACTTCTGATTATTTATTTAAAATTAAAACATTTAAATTCATAAATGCATAGGAACTGACAAAAGTGACAACAGATAATATTTACTTAATACCTACAATGTGCCAGATCCCGGTAAGTACCACACATGCACAGCCTAATTTAATCCTCACAAAAAATCTTGTTACATTCTATTATTAGTGCTACTCCAAGATAAGGAAATTAAAGCTCTGATGACAGGAAATCTATATACTGTAGAATGGAAACAAAAGTAGTTGACTTTGACTATTCTTCCAAAGTACTGATCTTAATCAATATACTATACTGAATAATATTATTGTCCATAAAAATGAGATGTGAAAAACAATCCAAAAACAATAGTGATAACAGATAAAATCATCCATGTCCCAGACTTTTCATGATATAAAAACATAAAATGTACATCACCTCTATAGATAGGAAAAAAAAGACAATAAACTAAACAAATTTTGCCCTCCTCGAATTATAAAACTTTTCAATCTATCAGAAAATGCCTTTTTCAGGTGAGGAAATCTATGCCCAAATAAACTAAATGACTTGGCACTTTCCTGACTCTTGACATTTTCACATGCTATTCCCTCTGTTTTTTGACTCCCGCCCCACTCCCTCTTTTTCATGTGACTACCTCCTTTACATTGTATCTCCATTGTCATTTTCTCATAGTGAGGCCTTTCCTAACACCCACACCTGAATTAAGCACAACCCTTCATTTTTCTCTCATAACATCCAGAACTTTTCCCTCAAGTATTTATCATAATTTGAAAATACTTTACTTGTATAAAGTAAAATTCTTTTCTCCTCCACAAAACTACCACTTCCAGAAAGATTGAAGCTATGCTATTGTATCTTTAAGAGGCTAGCACAGGGCGCCTGGGTGGCTCAGTTGGTTGAGCGACTGCCTTCGGCTCAGGTCATGATCCTGGAGTCCCTGGATCGAGTCCCGCATCGGGCTCCCTGCTCGGCAGGGAGTCTGCTTCTCCCGCTGACCCTCCCCCGTCTCATGTGCTCTCTCTCATTCTCTCTCTCTCAAATAAATAAATAAAATCTTTAAAAAAAAAAAAAAAAAGAGGCTAGCACAGCTCCTGAAATGTAACAGATCCTGATTATTCATTGATGGATGAATAAATGAACCATTTTCTGTGTGACAATGAACTGCTAACATTTACTAAGCACTTACTATATTCCAAGAACTGTTCCAAATTTAATTACATTTAATTGTCCCAGTAACCCTATGGGGTAAAAGTGTCATTGTTATCTTCATTTAACAGATAAGAAACTGAGGCACAGAGTGATTAAGTAACTTGTCTGCACTGACAGCTAGTCAGAGTTAGAATTCAACCATAAGTAGTCTGATTCTAGCTCTTAAATACTTTGGTATAGCTGCTGTGACACACCAAAGTTACTTTTACAACAAGAATTTTCTTTTAGAAACTGACTGGTGGGCCCTTTGTGGTATTTTTAACTTGGCTAAAAAGTATTTCACAAGGAAAGACAAATTTGCACCTACTATTGTAAAACTTTCTTCAGATGACTAGAAAAACATAATCATAAAGATGTGCCAAATGTGGAACACTGCCTACAGATCTGTCAAACCAATTTATCTACAACATACAAAGCAACTTTAAAAGACTATAAAAGAAGCACTTGGACTTTTCCTTTTCAATCTCATCCTTCTTTTAAAAAGTCCACGCCAAAGGTAACAGAACCAAGAGCTAAAGCCAAAACAAACATGCTCCAACTTCTTGGGTCAGGTCATCAGATTAATGGAATGTTAAAATATTTTTCATTTTTAAAAACATGTGACTTTGTTTCTGCATGTTTTGTGGACAAAATAAAATTTGGAATGGAAGATTAACAACAAAAATAAAAGCCTTTTCCTTTCTTGAATGTACTGAAATTGAATGATCAAATTCACCTAATGCAGAACAATGACTACATTGCCATAAAAACATGACAAGTCAGGATCTGTCATATTTCCTTCAAAAAACAGAACTCCAAATTCTAGTCTCTCCTCTTTATCTACTCTAAATCCTGAGTATGAAGAAACAATGTATTTATTTTATATACTTGTAGTATGAATCTATGTATCAAATAGGCAATAGTAACAGTGGCTAACACTTAAGGAACACTATAACTAGGCTTATTTATTTTTAATTCACTTAATCCCCTACAAGAACCCCATTACATAGGTATTATCATCTGTATTCTATAGTTTGGAACTCAGGGAGATTGAGAAACTTGTCTATACTCACCATGATCTTTGAGTTAGACCATGGCAGAAGTAGGATTCAACTACTTTATATTTTCCCTATCTTACAGGACCTTCCATAACTCAACTGTCACAAAATCTAATCTCTGACCCTCGTCCCATGGGCATTCTACTAGCCAAGGCTTCACCACTTTCACTGACTCAAAACAAAGCAAAAATAGCATTACTTTCAAAGGCAGCCCACTCCTCAAATCTACTCCATGTTAAGTTCTCAATTCCTTCCACCACACCTCAGAGGGCATTGTTTCAAGTCCCTGAGCATTTCATCCCTCGAGTACTCTCTATTAATGTGCCCTTTAAAACAGGGCAAGAGAGCATCTAGAATGAATAAATGATGCAGTATGGCCCAATCATCTCAAAATAGAGAAAGCCTATATCAAAGCAATCCAAACTTTCTTTACTATTTTGGGCAGCCACATCACCAATGACTCTTGCTTGGTTTACATTCAAGGAAATTTGTTCTTTAATTCATAATTACTGTTAAGGAATCTACCTCTTGAGTTCTTCACCTCTAACTATAGGTTTTTCCTCTGGTTAAATTTCACTTCTTCTATCTGGCCAATGACCTTCCCAACTGATTATTTCTGAATTTTGGTTTATCATTTGAAAACATCCTCATACTTCAGTTTTAACTCATTTGTAAGATTACTCAACATGTCACCATTGCCTCCATACAATAAATGCCTCATTAATAAAACCATGAATAGGAGAACAAACCTGTCCCTGGGGATCTCTGTCCAAGGTACCACTTATGCCTTCATCAGCCTCCTTAGAATACATCTATTAGTTAGAATTAGCAATAATCATGCCTCGGATAAACCTCACTGGCTACGCAAAGCTGCCGACTGATATCCTTATTCACTGACATTTTTCCATATCCTCTTCAAGTATATCAGACTTTCTGAAATATCTAATAGATGTATATCACACCTATTACACCACCCTGATCTACAAGTTCAACAGACCTATCAAAGAAGAAATTAAAGAGATGACAAAGACAAAAGTTAGTCTGTCATGACTTGTTCCCAAAGAAGCTATGCTGATACACAGTGAGCAGTGCTTTTCTCAAGCTCCATCAAAAAAAGTATAACAGTGTTGAGTGAAAAACACTGTTGAGTGACCCCATAATTTGAACAAAGACAATAATCTGTAAGCACAAAACAGCAGAGTTTCATACTCAAGTGATGAAAACAGGAATATTATTACAGTTCCTAATTAATATATAAATGAAATATTTATTACAAACATTTGTAATATTTCCAGTTGGTACCACTTTTGTCTGCAAAGATAAATTTCATATTAAATGTCTTTGTTGGGTTACTAATATATCTAAATAAATCTCAGTTAAACAAAAATGTTATTAATCTTAACACATTAAATGAAAACACAATAGTTCTTGGAATATTAGCTGCTACATAGGTCATGTGTGAAATCAAGTTGGCCTAATATATCCTAAATCTCAGTGTTTCAGCACTGGAAGAGACCTGGTGTTTATCGTTTACAAGTACCTCCTTTTATAGATGAAGACACTCAGGTTCTCTGAGATGGAATGACTTGACCAAGCTCACAAAACTAACTCTGGCATGGCTGGGCATAAAAATAAGATCTACTCAGAGGCTACTGATAATATTTCACAAAACCCTGTCTTCAAAAATAAAATAACAATAAAACAACACTTTCTTACCAGCTGCACTTCACCAAAAGCACCTCTTCCAATAACTTTAACAACATCATAGTCTTCTGCCTTCATCTGTAGACCTCTGATTTTTTTCACAATTTTCTCATCTGCAATAGAAAGATCATATTTATAAGCAATACTTTTAAATAATCACTATATTTGATGGTGATTAACTAACAGTAAAAAATTTTTTAAAAATCACTATATTTGTAAACAGATTTTTATTTCAAGAAACTGGATTTAGTTTTTAGCTAAATCTGTCAGTTTTCAAAGGTTACTATTTAAAAATCCAAGACACATACTAACTTTACATCAAAGAACCAAAACTCTATGGTTTATTAACACATAAAACAAACAATACTGACTACAAAAAAGCAGCAGTTAAGCTATTCCATTTCTGACTCTGTTGCTTGACAAGATGACAGCTAAAACAGTGATGACCCACGCAGTCCTAGAGTGCATTCTGAATCATGACAGAGAGCTGCTATGACATTACTTGCAAGGCTAATCTTAGTAATAAATTTTAGTAGCCTACTTCTTTGAAAAGTAGTAATCACATATTATAGGTATGGTAACTATAGACAAGATTGTTTAATTATGAAAATAGGCCAGTCTCTGACAATTCCAACTTAAAAAGCTTACTGTGTTGATATAAACTATATATTGAATTATTTTGAGAATTTATCCTTAGAATTCAACCTCATTTACACCTTCACTGCAACATCAATACTGGCAAATATTAAGTTACTGCATATATGACAATAATTGTTATCACATTATCTTTCATTAGCTAGATTGAAATGTCTACATTTATATAAACATAAAGCTCATTAAGTCTCCTGGGTAATGTAAACCTAAGTCTTAATATTGTTAATATTAATTTAAAAGTTCTCTTTGAGCTGCCATAAATAATCTATCCTGAAATCATCAGTCTTAATAATTTATACAAAATCTTGAACTCTACCTACTTTACAAACTGCAACTAGTTCTGAGGTTTTGCTTTGAAAATAAAGAATGCTAGTATTCAAACAGCAAGCTAAAAAATACTTAAGGTTAATAATGTATAGACTGTAATATAAATCTCATCAAAAGTATAGTGATAGGATCAAATATAAAGTTTACTCACATCTATTTAAAAAATTATCTATATTCTTGTTTTTTCTCAAAGCAGGAAAATCCAAATCAAGGACCAAGGAATTTAAGCCATCCTGTTTAACACAAAATAAAAAAGGAAGAAGAAAGTTGTTACAATTTCCAAGTATTCAAAAAGTCTTTAAATTTTATTATATGTTGTTCTTGCTAAATATCAATCCACTTTGATATGAAATTGCCCAGCGGCTCCATATCTAACAGCCCTAACTTGTTTGCTAACTTCTGCCAGAAAATATGAATGATCCTATCATGTTTTCCTTTGTTATTTTAGCCAATAGAAAAATGTCATTTATGTACGTAGGTCTTTATTTATTTATTTGGAGAGGTGGGGAGGGGCAGAGGAAGAGGGACAGAGAATCTTAAGCAGGCTTCACACCCAGCGCAGAGCCCGAGGACGGGCTCAAGCTCACAACCTGAGATCATGACCTGAGCCAAAATCAAGAGTTGAATGCTTAACCAACTGAGCCACTGATGTGCCCCTAGAAAAATGTCATTTTAAAATATGCATCCCCTGGGGTGCCTGGCTGGCTCAGCCGGTAGAATATGCAACTCAATCTCAGGATTATGGCTTTGAGCCCCACACTGGGTGTAGAAATTACTTAAAAATAAAATCTTAAAAAGAAAATATGCATCCACTATTATTTTTGCTAGTCAAATGTCTTCCATTCTCTCTTCAAATGTCCAATAAAATTTCACCAAGCTTTTAACTTTAACAAATACAGACTATAAAGAAATTAAGAAAATAATCCCATTTACAATTGCGTCAAAAAGAATGAAATACCTAGGAATAAATTTAACCAAGGTGAAAGACCTGCACACTGGAAACTGTAAGACACTCATGAAAGAAACTGAAGAAGAAACAAATAAATGGAAAGATATTCTCTACTTATGGATTAGAAGAGTTAATATTAAAATGTCCATACCACCCAAGCAATCTGCAGATTCAAAGCAATACCCATCAAAATTCCAATGACATACTTCATAGAACTGTAACAAATAATTGTAAAATTCGTACAGAACCACAAAAGTTACCAAAGAGCCGAAGCAATCTTGAGAAAGAAGAACAAAGCTGGGGATATCATGCTCCCAGATTTCAAACTATACTACAAAGCTACAGTAATCAAAACAGTATGGTATTGCTACAAAAACAGACACACAGAGCAAGAGAACAGATTGAAAGCCCAGAAATAAACTAATACATATATGGACAATTAATCTCTGACAAAGGAGGAAGAACATATAATGGAGAAAGGACAGTCTTCAATAAGTGGTGTCGGGAAAACTAGGTAGCTACATGCAAAGAAATGAAACTAGACCACTATCTTACACCATACACAAAAATTACCTCAAAATAGATTAAAGACTTGAATGTAAGACCTGAAACCATAAAATTCCTAGAAGAAAACACAGGTGGTAAGCTTCTTAACATAGGTCTTAGTGACATCTTTGTGTATCTGACTCCAAAGGCAAGGAATGAAAAATAAAAATAAACAAATGGGACTATATCAAACCAAAAAGCTTCCACACAGCAAAGAAAACCTACTGAATGGGAGATCAGCAAACCACATATCTAATAAGGGGTTATTATCTAAAATATATAAAGAAATCATACATCTCAACAACAAAAAAACCAAAAACTTGATTTAAAAAATGGACAGAGGATCTGAAGAAACATTTCTCCAAAGAAGACATACACATGGCCAACAGGTACAATGAAAAGATGCTGAACATCACTAATAACTAGGGAAATGCAAATCAAAACCATAATGAGACATCACCTAATACTTATTAGAATAGCTATTATCAAAGACAAGAAATAACATGTCAGAGAGGATGTGGAGAAAAAGGAACCCTCTCACACACTATTGATGGGATTGTAAATTGGTGCAGCCACAACAGAAAACAATATGGAGATTCCTCAAAAAATTAAGAATAGAAGTACAATGTGAGACAGATATTCCACTTCTGGGTATTGATCTAAAGAATATGAAAACACCTACTTGAAAAGATATATGCACCCCTAAGCTAACTGCACCATTATTTGCAACAGCCAAGATATGGAAACAACCTAAGTGTCCATCAGTAGATGCATGTATAAAGAAGATAGTGTATATACAATAGAATACTACTCTGCCATAAAAATGAATGAAATTTTGCCATTTGCAATGACATGGATGGACTTTGAGGATATTATGGTAAGTGAAATAAGTCAAAGACAAATAACCTATGATTCCACTTATATATGGAATCTAAAAATAAATAAATAAACAAAACAGAACAAAAACAAACTCACAGATACAGAGAGCAGACTAGTGGTTACCAGAAGGGAAGGGGTTTGGGAGGTGGGCAAAATTGGCAAAGGGGGCCAACTCTATGGTGATGGATGGTAACTAGACTTGTGGTGGTAATCACTTTGGAGTGTATACAGATGTCAAATTATAAAGATGTACATCTAAAATTTACATCATTAAAAAAAAAAAAAAGAAATACACCCAGACTAAGAAAGTTCCCATTCACTCAACAAGCATTATTTTTTTTGCCTAATGCATACAAAGAACAGAAAAATCCAACAATAAATATGACACTAACTATCCTTCCCCTCAGGGAACTCAGCCTCAAAACTAAATTTCCCCTAAAAACATAAAAATAAGATGATGCATTGTTCAGATTTCTATTTTTTTTACGTTTTCTATGTTTTTTATACTTTCTACAACAAGCATACATTAAATTTATAATCAAAATAAGAAAAAGTACCTACACATAACTTGTTGGGGGTGAAAAAAAATAGTAAGAAACGAAGTCTTTACTCAGTGGATATGCTTGTGAAGGTAACAGTATTTCTAAAAGACTACTGCATATACGGTTTCATCTCCAAGTAACTCTGAAGAGGGCATGAAAAAATATTCTTAATTTTAAAAATAAACTAAGGCTTAGAGAGATTAAGTGACTTTGACTTGTCCAAGGTCAGGCTACTAGGAAATGACATAGCAAATGCTACCTAAAACTTAAAGGTCCAATATACTTAACTCACCACCCTAGTCTCAATGACCAGACTAACACCGACCAGAGCCTGGAAGAGTAAATAAGGAGCTGAAAGAGCTGAAGGATTGCAAAATATAAAATAGCAATAAAGAGGCCTTTTAGGGATCTGAGTAAGGGGAAAATCAAAGAAATTTGAGCTTTTTAATTTACGAATTACAGAGGAATTATACATACTATGTTTACCATTCAGTTATACTTCATATTTTTGTTTTTCATTCTTTAAAAAATTTGTAATTTTATGAAAATATTCTTTATTCATAGAAAGGGCAGGTGCGCCTGGGTGGCTCATTGGTTAAGCATCTGCCTTCGGTTTGGGTCATGATCACAGGGTCCTGGGATGGAGCCCCGCATGGAGTTCTCTGCTCTGCGGGGAACCTGCTTCTCCCTCTTCCTCTGCTGCTCCCCCTGCTTGTGCTCTCTCTCTCGTTCTCTCATTCAAATAAAATCTTTTAAAAAAACCAGAAAGGGCAGAGGTGTTAAGAGTAAACTACATATATTTTTTATCACAATTAAAATTCTTTATAGCCCACTATATATAAAACAGACATATAAAGCAGTCTTTTTTTTTTAAGGATTTTATTTATTTGAAAGAGAGAGACACAGCAAGAGAGGGAACACAAGCAGGGGAGTGGGAGAGGGAGAAGAGGGCTTCCTACCGAGCAGAGAGCCCGATGTGGGGCTCGATCCCAGGACCATGGAACCATGACCTGAGCCAAAGGCAGACACTTAACGACTGAGGTACCCAGGCGGCCCCCATATAAAACAATCTTGATTCTCTCAAACTGAAAGAAAAAAAAAACAACACTAAAAGAATAATAAATATCTAATTTCCAGTGAAGTTGAGATTGTTAAATTCACACTTTGAGATCCCACACATACCCACAAGTCCCCTCTCCAGGACAGCTGAACTGCTTTTTAAGATTTTCCAGCATTTTAGCATAGTAGGCTATTTTCAAGTACCAAATTATTGCTATATCTTTTTGGTATAATTTTGCTATTTGGTAAGTTTAAAATGTAAAATCTGAATCACTTATATTTTTAGATATATCCATAATCATTGACTTTAAATCAAAGAAAGGTACATTTATTTAGAAAGCCTTCTTCTGTACCTCCATTAACCTCCACAAGAAGAAAAAATTTTAATTGACAAGGCAAAAGCTTCTATTACAAGAATAAATATCTTCCTCTAGTTCAGGGACTTTTCAAAAAATGGCATATGAACACTTCATACAGATGTGATAAAAGTAATTACATTAAAATCTCCATCTACATATTATGAAGAAAAAATCCTTTGGAAAAAAAGAACTACAGCTTCACATTAGTAAAATGACTGAATCCTTGCTTACCCCGCATCCTCCCCACAAGTTATCACAACAAGACAGGATTATGTAAAGATTAGTCAAGAAGAAAATCTCGAAATAGTTTATAAATTTTTCCCATAATATCCCCCAACCAGTGTAGAGTCAGAGAGCTTTTCAGCAGTTCTAACATTAGAGCAAATATTCAACTCATCAATAATACCATTTTGTTTTTTTTAAGCCATTTTTTTAAAGATCAAATACTACCTCATTTGTGCATTTAGTTTTATTTTTATACAGTATTTTTGAATACTTTGATCTGCTAATAATTTTTATTTGAAGAAAATGTAGGGGGTAATATATACTTATAAATTTACATATATATGTGAGGTTTTATATTTATAAATTTTCACATTTGAAATGTATTCTATTTAGCATCACTTATTAAGAAACAAATTATGAATTTCTTTAAGATACCAGTATTTTCAGTACATGAAATTAATACTGAGATTCAGTGGCTAGGCTAGCTCAGGACTTAACTGAAAGCCTAAGCAATGAAGAAAATTAACACTATTTGTCCCTTTCATCATCTCCAAATGCATAGAAATGATAGGATAACATTTAAAAGTTTTGCTTTGGTTTGGTTTTTTGAGGGGGGGAGGGGCACGAGCTGGGAGGAGGGACAGAAGGCGAGGGAGAGAGAGAATCCTAAGCAG